TTTTCCCGTCACCATCAATATTTCAGAAACATTGAAGTCTAATCTCAAAGCACTCCCTTGCATTAATTTTTGCATTTTTTCATAGAATCACCTCACATCATTTTTCAAGGAAATTTTCAGTCCTCTAGGCCGATCCCTCACTGTGTAATGGGAAACCTAAGACCTGGAGAAAGGAAGTGATATGCATGTCACACAATTCATTAACAATAAATGCGTGATAATAAGAATCAAGTATTCTCGCTCCCCCTATGCTACTTTGAAAAGATGTTTTTCTATTCATGATAAAAACAAAAACTTTCAATATCTTTATGTGGATTTCTTTGGCTGCTAAATACTGGAAAATCTATGTCATTTTTTATATATCTCGGGATTTCTCTTATTGAAACCAAATCTCCAATACCACCCCACTAAGAACCTAAAATAGACACTGAAATCTACAGCTGCAAAATGAAAAGAAAATACAAATATGATGAGAAAGAAAACTATCTGTGAGGAAATATACTTCATTTTCTGTTTTCAAGTCACTGAAAAGAAACAGAATGCTGTAACAAAGGATGCAGATTACACCTTTTGAAAATAACATCAATCATTTTTCCAACAGTAATGTATTACATGCTTATTTTGGAAAATCCAAAAGGAATATGTTCAAAGACTTCCAGTGGATTCCTGAGACCCCAGATAGGACTGAACCCTAGACATACTATGTGTTTTCCTGTATATACACACCTATAATGTAGTTTAGTTAAAAACTTAGTCATAGTATTAGATCAACAAGAATAATAATGAAATGAAACAATTCTAGCATTATACTGTGTTAAAGGTTACGTGAATGTGGTCTCTCTTTCCCTCAAAATATCTTAGGGTACTATACTCACCTTTCTTCTTCTTGTGAACCATTGATGACACCATTCCATAAACACAACGGCCATCATTATTGCTTTCTGATTATGTTGCCAGAACATGGGCAGGTAAGTTTTGGGGTCTTTTTTTTAAAGAGCCTCTGGGTTGTTTGCTCTGTACACTCCCTTGGCTTTAGCAAATGTCCTGTGGCTTTGCCACACAGTTCCGGAGTTAATCTGTCCTTCCATGTTTTATACCCTGTTGCCTCCTTTGCATTTTATGCATGTAGGTGCCACTGGGCATCTCATCCCAGAAGAGGCCAGTTTTGTGGCCATTGAAGACTCACTTTGGATGGTATCTTTCATCTTAATCAACTTCTTCTGCTCTGCTGGGAATGTGGCAGTAGCCTCTTCATCAGCAGGTACAGCTCCTCTGGTAATCACCATGTTGTTCGGTTCAAAACTTTTCCTGAGCCTGTGTAACCATCCATTACCCACAGTGAATGGCTTGGTGTCACTCATTTCAGGACCCCTGGCTGAAGTCTCCATATCATCTCAATGCTTTTTAGAGCAAAACATTGTTATCAATGAGAAAATGCTTTCTGTAATTTCTCCCAACCACAAATATAACATCTCCATCTTAACTAAGCCCTCATCACACACTGTGAAAGTAACTTTTGAAGTATGAGTTGTGGCAGTAAAACTAGTAGATACAAATAAACTATGTTTTTTCCCATAATTTCACAAACAGAAAATTCATTCTTCCCATAGATCTTAGCAGCCTCAGCATACAAATTTTCTTTCCTAATCAAGTGGAGAACTTTCAGCTTTTCACTTAAAAGAAGCACTTCACAGCTTTGCTTTGGTACATCTGAATTTTCAGCATCACTATTCTTGTATTTGGGGGCCAATATTATGTAAAGCAAGGGCTGCTTGAACCGAAGCACTGTGGTACCTACACTGGATCTGATCACGAAGATGCCTGCTAGGTGACTAACTGTCAAAATGTGTATAGAGCCTGGATGTGCTGGGTTTCTATCCGGGACAGAACAGCACCAGACATCGCGAGAATTCATCATGCTACTCAGAACAGTATGCAAGTGAAAACTTAGGAGTTTTCATTTCTGAAATGTTCCAAAGGTAACTGAAATCATAAATAATAGGAGGGACTACTGTATAATTTATCTTTTAAAAAATCCAACACAATTGGGGTCATATGCTCAAATATTTTCAGACTGCATCAGTCCTTCTAATGTCATTTACATGTACTGATAAGTCTGTACATTTTTCTTTTAAAAATGTGAGGTTCCCACTATTTATTAGGAAATTAGCCCATTTGGCAAGAAATTCACTGAATTTCTTATTTAAAAAAATAAAGCTTGCGAAGTAGGGTTGGAGACATTGGTTTCCACATTCAGCAGCTACGCCAGCTTTCATCTCTGCCATACCAACTTCTTACACTGCAAGTAACCCTTCAATAAGGTGGAAGGACAGCAATATTGGCTTAGGCTTACTTGACCTTGTAATCTCTACTGTCCAGTCAAATACTATTAAGCTATTCGGCTTCTCCAATATATCCGTTTCCCATCCATCCATTTCCTTCTGACATCCCTCTGTCTCACTCACTGCAGCTCATCATACTACATTGTGCATGGGGGAAGTAACTGTGATACTATATTGAAAAACCATCAGGTATTCTTTCTGGGATTAGATTATTTTCATTCCACCAGCATATTCAGTCTGCCAGCAGCATTTACAACTCCTTTTTCCAGAATCAAATGTTTAGTCCTTCATCAACACTGAATCTACCTAAAATTGATAATCCTGGTTGTCCTTGTAATTATTTTGTTTCTAAGCCTTGGACTTTATAGAATGAATTAATTATAGGATATATCTGTTTTTTAACCATTAAATTGGATAATGGTTTAATAGGTCAAGAGTAATATTTTTGGGATTTTAAGACTTATAAGATTCAATATTCCCCAAGTCTGTTTCTTTTGCAGTGATCTATGGCTTTGATTTTAGTAACAAATTAACCAAAATGAGGGCAGGTCGTGGACTTTCCTTGTGAGCCAGCTTTGCTATCTCAGCCAGAAAGCTAGGTAGAGAAAACATAATTTGGTGTGGAAAACTTACCTTATTAAACCAAATTATAAACTTTCTTGATTAAAAAAAAGTAAAAAACTGTACCTATTAGGTATATCAGTTCACATTAAACAGTGTATTAAAACTTTTTAAAAGATTTTATTTACCTATCTTTAGAGGGAAAGGGAAGGAGAGAGGGAGAGAAATATCAATGTATGGTTGCCTCTCATGCGTCCCCTGCTGGGAACTGGCCTGCAACCCAGGCATGTGCCCTGACTGGGAATCGAACCACGATACTCTGTTTTGCAGGCCCACGCTCAATCCACTGAGCTACACCAGACAGGGCCTAAAACCTTTCTTAAGCTAGGTATTTATACTCTAACAAAGGCTGCCCTGGCTGCACATGAAAACACTTAGGGAATTAAATGAACACCTATCTCCAGGTCCCATGCCCAGAGAGTCTTTTTATTTGGTCCGAGGCAGGATTGAGGCATCAGGATTTTTAAAGCTCCTTGGATTACTCAAATCCTGCCTCCGGGATTGAGAATTGCCATGTCTAGCCACCAGGACTGAAGTGTACTTTTCTCCTCTGAGTAAAGGGATTGTGTGAAATTAGAAGGACCAATTCCTGGGAAATGTGGGATGCATGAATCATAATTAGGCCCTCTAAGTGTCAGCCACAGTCTGGGCAGGGAACACCTGTGGAGCCAAGAATTAAAAATGAATGACGCCCTTTGCACCGTTATGATAATGCATTCTACTCTCTGGGAAGCTATTAAAATATTCCTCTCAAGACTTTTTTCAAGCCCATTTTTAAGTGTCACAAGAGAAAGTAATATGAGGTTTTCAAGAAGGCTCTGTGAACTTAATCTGGCAGAGCTTTCTGGAAAATATTTGGGTATTTTATTTATGTGTGCCGTATGCTGTGAAAGAGAGGAGAAGGGGAGTTTGCCTGAGAAAAGAGAGAGTTTTTGCATTTGCATTACATCAAGGAAGTTTGACTTGGCCTACCTCTTACGGTACTTTCCAGTTCTTGAGGTCTGTTTGATGCATAAGTTTCCTAAGAGTCTAGCCTCATTTAAATGATAATTTGTGTCTTTAGAATGCCATCTCTGGTCTTGTCCTTCTGCATACCTGTGGAGCTGATTAGAGTGCGGTGATCCGTTTGTTTTCAAAGGAAATTTCGTGTTCACATTCCCTTTACAGGGGTCAGTAGAGGAAGACAAGGAAATAGTCCCGTAGTGTTTCTGACCGTTGCTGGGGAAAAATTCCCCTCCCATATTATAAATCATGGTAGGCAATTGAATTAGTACTACAGTAGGAAAGAGTTTGCTATTTCATACTCCTATAGTTTTTTCTTAACACCATGAAATTAAAGATATGCCAGCATGGAGCTGAGTATTTCTGATTACTTTCTAATAAGCAATGTAGTATATTATTTTCTTTATGTGCTTTTATAGCACATGCTGTGCAAGATAATTCGCCCCATGACAGATGTCTATATTCCAGAGGAAAATTTATTTGTGAAAGAACAAACAGATATTAGAATGCACATATAAGGGGCTATTCATTATGTGGCCCACAAGGTGCTTTTTGACGATCTGTAAATTGGAATCAATATTTTCTCGCTCTGCATATGCATAGGCAAATCTGAGTGTCTGATATAACCAATTTGAAACATGTTCAACTATTTGAATGTAATCTATTTTCAATCCACGTTGGGAGCTCTCAGAGCTCACTTGAAGTGGTGAAGAATGAGGAAGGGTGCACTTTTAGTTCTTTTCAGAGAAGCCTATGAGCCTGTTCATTCTGCAAGTTGGCCAGGATAAGCTGTGTCCACCAGGCCCCTCTTCACAAGGAAATGTCCACTAAAATGGTCAAAAAATAAGCATAGGAAAGATTCTCCATGGATCTTCCTTTACTGCTGCTCAATATGTCACTCTTTTCCAAGACAAGCACCAGTAGGCAACAGTATCAGAAGTCCCTAACACTTCTGCGTGAGGCGGCTTGGCTTGGCGAACTGGCAATTGTAGGTGTCCAGGCTGCTGCAAGGCAAACTGAAAAAAAGAGGAGGATGTGGAGAAATGTCCATCTCCACCTACTTTGTAACATGGCCTGGGGCCAATTCTGCTGCCTGTAAGTAAATTCCCCCATTCTTTTTTGGCTATAAGAATTTTTCCCTGGGGGGCGAAAAACAGACCCTCTTTATCTCCATCAGCTGACTGATCAGTTTTCACACTATGATTGTACTATTAACATAAATTTAAAATAACTAATAGATACAGAGAGATTGCCATATCCATAAAGAATTTAACAAGGTTCTGTTTCAGACATGATTTTTCTTTTAATGAGAAGAAAAGGAGACACTTTTTATTCAGGCAGGTCTCTTCCAGCCTCTTGAACTTGTGGTAGCTTTGCCTTTTGTGCACTAGAGGAAATAAGGGAACAAAAGGAGATTTTATAATTAAATTGAAGGTAGCCTTTACAAAGGTAAAACTGGGGCACTGAGGACTGGTTTTGTAATGCCAGTTCTAGAGTGGGGAGCCAACCTCAAGTGAAGTGGAGCCTTGAGGCCAAGAGAAAGGATTCTTCTCCTCCCCCAGGAAGTGGGGGTGGTTGGCTCCATTCCATAAGTACATGCTACGTTTGTGTGCTGAGTGGCTGGACTACACACAGCCTGGAACACCCGGAGGCTGTAAGGTCTGACTTCAGCCTGGCGGTGGCTTTCTCAAACACACTTCTCTCTGTCAGTGCAGATGAAGCTGGGACTGTGCCCATCAGGATCCTGACGGTGTGAGAGAAGGTTGCCATCAGGTAACATGGAAAGCTTTGTCCCAGCCATCCGCCCACAGTTTAAGGTAAACATGTAATCACTCACTGAAAAGAAAAATTATCTTGACATAAATATGCACCAAATAGAGCTGAAAAATAGCAACCACCGCAGTCTTGACACTCCTGTCCCTCTCCATTTCCTTGGCCTCTCATCAAAAGTGCCTTCTTATTTATAGGAGGGTCCCAAGTGTTTGCTTCAGTTGATAACCCAACTTGGTAGGGAGGGATAAATGACTTAGAGGAACAGCCCAGAGAGATGTAAAATCGCCCCAGCAATGTTTTCTTGCATCTTGTCCGTGACCATCACTTTCCAGGATGAACTTCTCACCACTGGCCAAGAGAGCCTGAGGTTGTCAGCTTCTCTTGGAATTTTGGCCGGGAGGTGGGACGAATGAAGACCTGCTCTAGGTCCTGAAGTTTATCACTGTGCACTGTTTGCTGAGAATTTTGTTGGGAGGAGGTCCAGATTTTACAGACCATCCACTGCAAACACGGGTGGTTTCCTTGCAGAGGAGTTTTTCTTTCTGAGAGTTCCTTTATGGCTGGAGGGCTTTGCCTCCTGTGTTACAGCCTGTGCCCTTCGAACTCCTTAGGTTCCACTTTCCTTCCTTGCCTTCAGTCCACTCGCTTCTCCTTCCTCATCTTCTCCAGTGTCCCTCCTCCCAGCCTGCTTTCCAGCCCCATGCCCCAGTTGAAGACGTCTGGGAGGAAGAGGTGCTCAGGCACTTCGCAGGGCACTCTTGCCAGAAGTTGGGATGGGAAAGGTTTGGGGGAGGGAGGACGGGATTTTTGGGACAGGAAATGCAGCTTGACCACACCCAAGTAGAGGGGTACAGGCAGGGACAAACACCTGCCCTCGAATTGAACTGTCTATATCAATTTGTGTGTGGGGTCGGTGACACAGCATTTAGCCACTTGGCTATGAAATCTGCGTAGAAGTCTCCAGACACCTGGCCCCCTGTGTTCTCCTGCTTCGGGGTGAGGCGGAGAAGGGGTTGTCTCCTGGGTTCCTCGTTTGCAGTTTAGGGGCGCAGTGGTTCAGTATGTGCCCTGGGCTTACTACGGATTTAAAAGGGTTTTGACAGAAAGGGCTGTTGCCAACAAAGGTGGGAATGCAAGCTAGGACAGGGAGGGCGCCTCCAGGCCAGGGGTACCAGCTGGGAAGCACTGAGAAGACCTCTGCCAAGTAGCCTGAATCCTGAGACCGGTCGGGGTTGTATATGGGAATAGAAATTGCACCTTTTTCTCGGATCAAAATCCCGGTGCCCCGTCTGCCAGTTCTGCACACGCTCTTTGCCGGAGTCCTCAAAGCCGAGCGGGAGGAGAGGGAAGGGTTCTCTGGTCCTCAAGGGAAATGTCTTTCCAACCCCGCGCTGGGAAGAGGGACAGTCGGCATTTTTCTCAGCCCCTCACAGGCCAGACGGCTTGGCCACCTCGCAGGGCTGCTTTTCGGGACGCGGGGCTGGGGCGGAGCAAAGGAAGACAGACTTTCGAGCCGGCCTTCACCCCCTTCCCCAGGGCTCACAGGACAGAGTTCCAGCTCCTGGCCACCTCCTGCCCGCACGTTGAGTGCAAACAGCCGGGACACGCAGTCCCCGCAGGGACACCCCGGGAAGCTCCAAGCGACTAAGAGGTGGCTCTGCGGGGACCTGGCTCCCAACCCCCCCAGGCCTCCGCGTCCAGGGGCAGGGGCGGGGCCGCCCCGGAGGAGGGCCCGGGAGCTGTCCCGGGAGGCGAGCGCCGGCGGCGGACGGGGTTGGGCCCCGAGCGCGCGCCGGGCGGAGGGAGCGGGGGCCGCGTGCTCACTCTGTCCCCGCCCCGGGAGCCGGAGCCTCCCAACTATCTCCGTCCGCCGCGTCCGCCGAGCCAGCCGCGCCCGCCCGTCGCTCCGCCGCCCGCCCGCAGGCTCGGGCTGCCGCCCCAGGCTGTGCCCGCGGTCGCGCAGGTTGGTGTCGCCGCCTCCGCCGCGGCGGGGCGGGCAGGGGAAGGGCGGGGGTGGGAGTGCGGGAGGGGGCGCAGCAAGTTGGGCAGACGCCGGGCCGGGACGGGGTCCTGCTGCCTCCGCGCTCAGGGTTCCAGGCGCCCGAGGCGGTGGTCGATTTCCTCCGCGGCGGCTCGGGTCCTGGGGAACCGCGCGCCGCGGCCGGGGAGGATCGCGGGACTCAGCCCTCGTCCTGCTCCAGCCGCTCCGCGACGCCCCGCCACCCTCCGCCTTGCCCGGTTTGTGAGCGGCGGCGACCGCTCCCCTCCGTCCTTCTCACCTCTGCTCCTGGCCGGCTCCGTCCTCCCACCTGCCGTGTCCCCAGCCACGGGGCGTAATGCGCCGGCAAAGGCTGCTCGCAGAGGCGGGATGGAAAGTATCCACCACTTGGAGTTAAATCGGGATCTCTGCCCTGTTTCAGTCACCTTGCCATTAAGATGGCCTTTTGGCCCCTCTCTGTTCCCTGATGCAAAATGTGCTCGTACTCTGCCCGTCTCTGAGGATCGTTGTAACCATTCATTGGGATGACTTAGGTGTATCATTACTTGATTTTGTTTTGACCACGATCCCCGGTCTCCTCAGGCTGCTTGATGGCCAGTCCTGTGTTCTAATCATCTGAGTTCAGATCCTTCCCTTAGATAGGATTATGTGTCTAGCTGATTTGGTCAGTAGATGGGTTGGGATAAAAGATTCGTGTTTCTGGAACCGGTCGTGTTGAAATTGTCTGTTCCCCACCTGACCCTATGCAGAAAGCTGGACCTTACATCTTTTTATGGTCACAGGAATGCAAATAGCAGAAGATTAATATTGGCCTCCTGTCTTTGGAAATGAGCAAACTGTATTTGCTTCCGGTGTTTTCCAATCTTTACAATCTCTTACCCATTTTAAGTGCAAGTTTGAATTTGCTTTCACTTTTTAACAACTCAGGAAGCAGACCTTCATTTTAGTAAACTTAAGACATTTAGCTCAAACAACACGTGCCCTATGATTTGTGAATTTTCAGGTTAAAATCACAGGCACAAGCATTGTTAGCACTATCCTGATTATTTTATGAAGAGAGCAAGTTAAGTGGCCTAATAAGACCAGCTTTAGACCTGATATTAAATAGTTAAGTTCTTTCATTCGTGATTTTCTGATTTAATAGAGAGTTCATGAGATTCTGTGTTGTGAGTATATTGTGCTTTGTGCCTTTAAAGATGAATCTAGAATATGTTCTTCGCTCTAAAGAGGTTTCCAATCTAATGTAGAGACTAATATTTTTATTTCACATTTTTATGAAAATTAAAAATATTCTAATGATTACATATGACAAATAGAATATGTCAGGAATACATTACTGAAGGCCCTTTCAGATCAATATTTAGTGAACCTGCTTAATAGAGTGGAAAAATAATAAATTTAGTTAAACTAGTGTTTTTTGAAATAAAATTTCAAATGCTTCTACTTCACCAAATGGGAGACATACTTGGAAATAAAATGAATTCTTTGTTTTTAGAATGAAAGTTCAGAAAAACACTCATATGTGTATGATGTGGCAACAAATTTTAAAAGCTTTAAAAATTTCAATTCTAACTTAATAAGTCAATTTATGGTGCCCATATGCAATTTCTTCTCTACTTCTTGAGAAATGAAGTTTATAATGCCTAGAAGGAAATACAGAGATTGAATATAATGTTTTTAATAAGTGTTTTAAACTCAAACACTTAATGGTCCTCAATTGATTCTAGAAATTTGACTTTAAAAAGTTATGAGATCCTTAGTGAGAGTTTTTTGTTTCATTTTGTTTTTAACCATTAAAAATAAAATCTGGCTTGGCACAAAGGACACGCAAGACTTCCACCTGCAGAAGATCGACCAGATGAGGTTGCATTTGGTATGACTCAGTGACATCTCTAATCCTTTCCCTGCTCCCGGAAAGAATTCATCCATCTGCTACGTAACAATGCATAGAGTTTCTTATTCTTTACGTACCACTACTAGGCTTTGAGAACTTTGATTCAGCTAACACAGTGAGACTGGGCAAGTCGAGGGGCAGCTTGAGGGGTGTGAAGTTAACTTTACACTTGGCCTATTGTTCCCTGTCTTTGTTTTCCTATTTGTGAAGTGAGATTAAAGGTCCTGCCACTGCCCTGGAAAGCATGTGGTTTGGTATAATAGTCCAGAATATTGAGCCAGAAAGCTTTTATGTGTAAGAACTTTCTTCACCCCTATAACTCCTTTAGCCAGTAAAAGCTAATTGTTTAAAGCACATAAAAATAGCTTTTTAAAAAGGGCTCTGAATAAAGTTGGTGGTGGTGTCATGTACTCTGAAGTCTCCGGAGAGAAGTTTCAAGTATCTTTATCTTCTACAAGTTACTGTACTGATTTGAGCATAAGACCTTCCTCTTATCCAAGGTTGAACTTCCAGCTGGTTAGTAGCAGGAAGGCAACTGTAATTTTGATTGCCTGATAGGTAGTTCTATGTTTCTCCTCGTTCAGTATGGTCTCTTATCCAGGGCACATTTAAAATCTCACATTTATAAATGTGTATAGCTAAAAATTTTGGCTTCAGGTTCTGATGGGCCTGGGCTGGAGTCCTGCCCAGGCATTTGCTAGTCATATAGCCTCGGGTAAGTTAAGTCCTCAGTTTTCATAGTTCCAAAGTGGGAATAATGGAAGTACCTACCTCAAAGGACTGTTGTAATGCTTAAATGAGCTAACCGGTATGAAGTACTTAGGTCATTGCTAGTTATTTACTATATATTTACTACTCAAGTATTTTAGTTTCTTAAGGGTGAGGGAATTACATTTTAAAGGTCCGATTTAAAAAATATATATAGATATATAAACATGAACTGACACCCTAAATATTTTGAATTAGCAGTACCTCAATCAACTTTTGTGCCCTTTATTTATTCAAGAAGTGTTTATTGAGCTCCTACTATGTGTTGCTGGGCCTTTTTCTATGAACTTGCAAACAATGGTGTGCAAGACAGTTGTAGTCACTCTCTTCTGACCTACAAGTCTGGGGACGAGTCAGAAAATTTCAATCTTACGTGATTCACACCGTGATAGGGGTGAAGCAGAGAACCACAGAAGACAGCTGGGGTGGGATGGGATGGGAGGCCCCTGGGTGGGTGGCTGTCATCTAGTGCTTCCCCTGAAGAATAAGCAATGGCTCATGAAGAGGTTGGGGACTGAAGAGTGTTCCAGAACAAGGAGAGTGGAGCATGGTGCATTAGGATGGAAGTCAGGTAGATGACGTGAAGGAATAAGTAAATGAGAGCAGGAGCGAGCCACATGGCGCCCTGGAGAGCCCAGGCTTTCTGTAAAGGAACAGGAGATACTCAGTCCCAGCCAAGTGTTGCCAGATGCCGTGATGTTTAAGAGGAGCTTAAGATTTATGTTTAATACATGTGAAATCTCCCCAAATGTGAAATGACTCAAATGCTTTCTAAACGATTATGTGAGCCAAACCAGACACATTTGTAGCTGGAATTCAGCTCAGGGCCACCACTTTATGACCTCTGCCTTTAAAGAAATGAAAAAGGTTTGGTGTGGCTAAAGGAATGCATCCTAGAAGGGGAGGCAAGGGAATGCCCACAGGCGTGGGCAGAGCTGTCTCAGGGCCTGTGGAACTTGCTAAGGAGGGTCGGCTTAACCCTAAAAACAGCAGGTGACCTCAAAGACTGAAACAAGAGTGACGTGATTAGATTTGTGTTTACAGGGTGCCTTCTGGCCACTGTATGGTAAATGCCTGGGAACAGACCGTAGCGATATCTGCTTAGGAAGCTATTGTAATGGCCTCAGCAAGAAATAAATATGGCTAAAAGCTGGGTGTTGGAGCAGCACGGGGAGAGATGGTTAGATTGCAGAGATATATGTGATGCCTTCACTGTTGGAGATAATCCTCCATTATTCACTCAGGTTTCTATGAGCAGAGGCACTGACTGCTTTTATTCAAAACTGTCTATTCAAGGACACTTATATAACAGATAGTCTTGGAAAATAGAGGTAGTCTTTTCCTCAGGAACAAAGGGGAGGAAGATAGGCTTCGTGTCTGGTGTATAAGATGTGGGTACTCTAAGCTTGGGTACTCTAGTGTATAAGATTGGGTACTCTAACCTTCTGTAATGCAAATCAGTTAGTGTATAGGAATTACCTTCCTTTCTTCACTTCATACAGTGGGAATTAGGTTTCAGAGAATTGGCACAACTGAGCGAAATGGCATAACTCTGCTACTGTTTCTGTGAGTATTGTAGACCTTCATCTCTGGCCTCAAAATCTCATGTCTTCTCCCAGAATCCACAGATCTGTGGCATTCTATTTGTTCACTAGCTGGGAGGGTAAAGGCTAATATCTTTTACAATTTTTAAAGCCACTAGCGACAATGTCTAAGTGTAGATTAATTAGAATAAAAAATGTTGATTCCTCAGTCACCCTAATCACACTGCATGTATGTATGACAGCCACATGTGCCTCGTGGCTACTGTAGTGGAAAAGCGAGTGTAGAACATTTCCATAATTGCAGAAACTCCTATCAGATTTTGCTGAACAAAGGTTTAGAATATTTTTGTATGTTCTTGGTAAGTACAGGTGCTGGAAGTTGTTGGTTCTAACACCATAAAAATGATTCTTGTATTCGTGTTAGGTTCACAAGAGTTCTTTTGTATAAAGGAAATATTTCAGTTTGGATAATCAGTATAGTATTTAGTTCAGGCCTGTTGGGGGAAAAAAGTAGAAAATTATCTACAGTGTCAGTTTGGAGACTAAGCAGACAGGGGCCATATGGCAACAGAAGTTCTACATATACATGGCTTTCCTCAAAATCATGTGTGACTGTGAGATTCGGATCTGTGCCCAAACGAGCTTGAACTTCCGAACACTGTCTTCAGCTCATCTACGAGCCAGACTTAACATAAAAGGACAAGAGCGACACATTCACAGCGAGGCCCTGGAACAGGCCCATTCCGGCAGCACCCACACCACCGGGCCTGCTGCAGCCCAGCTGCGCTGCCTGAGCCCACAGAAAGGAGGGAGGACAGGGACAGGATTTCCAAATGGTTTGTTCAGGGCGTTTAAGAGGACAGCCTCCAGAAAAAGCACAATTTTCAATGACACAGCAGAGCTGGGGGACGATGCCAAGGACAATAAAAGCAGTGAATCTGCTCCCCTGTAAGAGGGGGAAGCTCATTTTGAGGAGGGCATTCCCTGCAAGTACCGGGAAGTGAACCTGTGCTGTTGTTACCATGATTTCCGTTGTTTTTTAGGCCCAACCAAAGGCAGCATCAGCCAGAGAACAGTCTTTTCCCCGGCGTTGAATGTGCAGTTGACTGCTTAGTCACATAGTTTTAACATAACAAAGGACAGTAGTAGAGATTTTAAAAAGTGAAGGCGGATACCCTTAGGGAAGAGTTGTAGTACAGCCTGCTATTTCCATAGCTAAAAATACCTTGTTGAAAATTTCAGACGTTAAGAATTTTATTTAAGTATGATGAAGAAATTTGCTTTAACATAGGACTTATTTGTAGTGCAGTAAAAATTTATTTCTGAAGATTATTTA